GTTGTTGATGGTTGGTTGGTTGGTTGTTGTTGTTGATGGTTGGTTGTTTGCTGTTGATGGTGGTGTTATTGTTGTTGATGGTTGGTTGTTGATTGTTGTTGATGGTTGTTTGCTGTTGATGGTGGTGTTATTGTTGTTGATGGTGGTGTTATTGTTGTTGATGGTGGTGTTATTGCTGTTGATGGTGGTGTTGTGTTGTTGATGGTGGTGTTGGTGTTGCTGTTGATGGTGGTGTTGTTGTTGTTGATGGTGGTGTTGGTGTTATTGTTGTTGATGGTTGGTTGGTTGATTGTTGTTGATGGTGGTTGTTGTTGTTGTTGATGGTGGTGGTGGTGTTGTTGTTGTTGATGGTGGTGTTATTGTTGTTGATGGTGGTGTTATTGTTGCTGTTGATGGTGGTGTTATTGTTTGTTGATGGTGGTGGTGGTTGTTATTGTTGTTGATGGTGGTGTTGTGTTGCTGTTGATGGTGTTATTGTTGTTGGTGGTGGTGTTGTTGATGGTGGTGTTGTTGTTGATGGTGTTATTGTTGCTGTTGATGGTGGTGTTGATGGTGGTTGGTTGGTGTTGTTGTTGTTGATGGTGGTGTTGTTGTTGATGGTTGGTTGTTGTTGTTGTTGATGGTGGTTGGTTGTTGTTTGTTGATGGTTGGTGTTGTTGTTGTTGTTGGTGGTTGTTGTTGTTGTTGATGGTTGGTGGTTGGTGTTGTTGTTTGTTGATGGTTGGTGTTGTTGTTGTTGATGGTTGATTGTTGTTTGCTGTTGATGGTGGTGGTGTTTGTTGATGGTGGGTGGTGGTGTTATTGTTGTTGATGGTGGTGGTTGGTGTTATTGTTTGTTGATGGTGGTGTTGTTGTTGTTGATGGTGGTGTTGTTGTTGTTGATGGTGGTGGTGGTGTTGTTGTTTGTTGGTGGTTGTTGTTGCTGTTGATGGTGGTTGTTGTTGATGGTGGTTGTTGTTGTTGATGGTTGGTTGTTGTTGCTGTTGATGGTGGTGTTGTTGTTGATGGTTGGTTGTTGTTGTTTGGTGGTGTTGTTGTTGTTGATGGTGGTGTTGTTGTTGTTGGTGGTGGTGTTATTGTTGTTGATGGTGGTGGTGGTGTTGTTGTTGTTGATGGTGGTGTTGTTGTTGTTGATGGTGGTGTTAGTGTTTGCTGTTGATGGTGGTGTTATTGTTGTTGATGGTGGTGGTGGTGTTATTGTTGTTGATGGTGGTGTTATTGTTGTTGATGGTGGTGTTATTGTTGCTGTTGATGGTGGTGTTATTGTTGTTGATGGTGGTGTTATTGTTGTTGATGGTGGTGGTGGTGTTATTGTTGTTGATGGTGGTGTTATTGTTGTTATTGGTGGTGGTGTTGTTGTTGTTGGTGTTGTTCTTATTGGTGGTGGTGTTGTTATTGGTGGTGGTGTTATTGGTGGTGGTGTTATTGGTGGTGGTGGTGTTTTTGTTGTTATTGTTGTTGTTGTTGTTGTTGGTCATCATCTCCTTGCCTGGAGTGACTCATACACTCATCAGACACAGAACAATGTGGACCTAACTCATCAACAGATCTTCCTACCACCAGTAATTCAAAGCCTTATACTCAATCATGACATTTTGCATTGATAGAAAAAAACGAATAAATTGCTCGTATGAACAATTTAACACAGCGTTACACCAGACAAAGAAAAAGAAAAAACTTATTTTGATAATAAGCAAGTGTTGACAAGTCCATAAATACAGCCAAACTCTACTCTGTTATAATAAGTATAATTCCAATCATTCCATCTCTTCCTTTATTTTATAGTTCTATATTTTGACTAATTAAAATTTTGAATTAACTAGTCATTAAATAATCACACAATATACGGTACTCTATCATATCATACACCTGATCTCTATGGCACGTGCACGCACACACACATTTCATATTCCCTTAATGCCAGATGTACAGTCAGACCATAGTGTACTTTTACCCCATCAGTCTCCAACATTATGACACACTGGGGAACAAATTCTATACAAGGTTCTCACACCTGGCTTCACAATGCTACCCTTATAGTGTCAAGTACTTTATGGGAACAAGTGCATGTCAATATTTTCTCATTCCGACTGTCGGGCACATTATTAAACAACAAATATAAGATGCTTGGTGAAAGTTTCAATAAATAAGCATTGAATATTGTTGAGATTATAGTAGCATGGATATCAAATGAAAATTGTCAGTATACTGTAATTTTAGGAGCTGGCAACAATACATTGCACATCTTTTGTTGCCAAGATGATTTTTCAAGACTTACTTTTGGTCCATGTAAAAATAAAAAGGAACGGAAATAAACAAAATATTCTATATTTTCTTTTCAAAGATCTTCAATAATTTCTTAAACAGGAAGACAATATTCAAACTTCATTGATATTTAACTAATATTTTGTAAAGCACCTCCAGCCTCATGACATTGGCTTCTCATCGGTGGTGCCAGTGTCTTCAAAACATTAAATCTACAGAGTCAGCTACTGTGGACTTAAGCAAGTCTGTCCACCTAACAATTGGTCAAGACTGGAGAGTAATAACAGTTGTTCTGTCTGATAGTTAATGTTAAGGTCATCACAGTTTGCATCATTGACTCTGTTACTTGTTTGCTTGCATAACAATTTATTATAAGACAAACTTGACTCCAAATAGTCTTACGATAAATCAACCTTTTTGGAAAATTGTCCAATTACGCTAACTTTTACAAACAGTATTTGCCGTATTTGATATTAAACACCTTATGCATCATGTTTCAAATACAGTGAGGGTAAAGGCATCCCAATTCATGCTACACAGTTTTCATTATTTGTCTCATCACACCCAGAAGCATTTAGTTACCTTAGTTTAACTTGTATTGACATTTATACTCTGATCAACCTTTCTAATACTGCAATCAGACGGACATTTTCAGTGACTCACGTCTTCGTCACTCACCATCTTACTTTCCATTATACCAGACCTGGCAATTTTCGGGCTACAGTCCGTGTCTGACGTTACATAATTCTCAGTCCCATTACCTCTGACACGACTGTATGATGGAGGAACTAACATCTATAACCTAACCTGACTACCACACTCAATAACCAAGTGCCCATAAAAAAAAGAAAAAATGCATTCAACAAAACATAATCTACTACTCAAAAATAGACACCTTCCTTCAAACACTCTAAACAAATATATAAATGCACTACAGTACTTACATTTTTCTCCTCCATATCTGCATGCTGCACAGACAGAAGGAGCACAGTCAGTAATATGGTGTTAGTTAATGTACCTATCCTTGGATACTCTATATAATAAGATTTCAATACTATTATCCTGATGTGTTATTTTTCTACCTTATTACCATGCTATATTTTCTGGTTATAAGGTAATTTCCCCATTAGTTATAAGGTAATTTCTCCACTAGTTAGCTATCACCTTAACATGGATGCGGACTTTTTCCTTAACTACACATAAAACCAACTGAAAATACACTATAAAAAAACATTATATTGTGCATCCCTTCTATCATTATACAGTAATTTTCATAGTATTTATAATGTTATACCTTGAAAATAAGGGGGAGAGTTGGGGGTTCATAAGGGATTGTGTGCTGATAGACCCAAACCCAACCCAACCCAACCCAACCCAACCTAACCTTACCCATGTCACTGAGAAGCCACAACAATCAGTCAGATGAGGTTAGGAGTCTACTATAGCTGGGGGGCTCAATTAACCAATAAAACATCCATCTAAAAATCAACACCAGAGCCTTAATGTCCAACACTTTCCACACGTAGTCAAACACTGCTTGGCATAGACCTAATAAGCAAAACCCATATTTTTTTCAGATACTAAACTAACTTGCTTTTTTTTTTTTTGTCCCAGTGATATTACTCAACTCCAAAGTTTATTAATGAATGTAAAGTATTATATAAACAAAGCCACTTCTGTCAATACAGTACCTCAAACTTTCTTCGTTCTTCTGCAGACATAGGCTTCGGCTGTGAGTGTATTAAGGCGGTGGGGGGGTACACCATGGTATTGTCCGTAGGGTGCTGCTTTTCGTACTCTTGATTTCTTAGCTGGACCTGATGATGCTGCTGCTGTTGGAGATTAACTTGCTGTTGCTGCTGCTGTAGGTTGGATTGTGCTTGCTGTTGCTGCAAATGCTGCTGCTGTTGCAATATATGCTTCTCATCTAATGATAACTGCAAATCAGAAGTTGGCATACTTTACAACTCACAAATACTTATATATATATATATAGTAAATTAAGGGTTTTCTTAAAAGTCCTATTTGGCTCCCACTTCCTTTACACCTATTACATCCCTTATTCACAAACATATTCCTACTATACACAGTGGCTGAACAGTAAACTAAGCCATGGTCTGCTGTCATTCTTTACCTCAGACGGTGATAAGTACCCCACTATAGTGTTCCAACTCCACATCAAAGACCTAAATACCGACCTGATTTACCCACTACCAAACTATTATTTCTAGATTTCATTCAATAAATAAGGTAACAGTGACTCCCAGTATATAATTAGTCAAGTTACTTCGTTCATATAATTGTCACCCGTTAAGGACATTTATTCAGGATACACAATTATCATCTATTTAATTCTTATAGTTCGCATTTTTTATCTACAGCAGGTTCTCAAATTTTGCGAGTTTTTAATTCAACATTTTATATTTGGACAAAAAAAAAACTACACGATTTCAAATATCGACGGGTTTGAGCGGCCCGCCAACGTTCAGACGACGTGCACAAATCGTGTAAACAGTGTCATTTCTCTTATGTACAAAAGATTCATTATTGTTTATTACTGAATGTCTTTTTGATTGAATTAATGTTTATGTGTGCAAAATAAACAATACAATTCATTGATAATACGTAGAATATTAAAACACACGAGGAAACGAGACGGCATTGTTTTCGTTAATGTTTACAAACCCCGTGACTGATTGGTTTTACATATAAAACTGAAGAAAATAAGACCCTGTTTGTAGCTGTAGTAAAACTAATGTAAAAAAATTAATATGGTTGTTTTAAGTACAGGGTAATGTTATTTAATGTTAATAAATGGAACAATAGAAGTAGCTAACCATTAATGGTAAAGGAAAAAAGTGAGATCATGTATGTAAGTGAGCACATGTGAAAACATATCGTCATTACTCTACATAAGAATATGAAAGCAACACCTATTTACTGTTCCTATACACTGATATTTTAATTAATGTTTCTGAATTTAAAACAAAAATTCTACCCACTGGTGGTAGTAAAGTTGAAAACATAAGGACAGCCAATGTTGTTGAGCGTGTTTTTACTAGGATGAAGAAGTTGCCAAGTCATCAGGTTCAACTCTAGCTCAAGCTGTAAAACATAAGAACTTTTTCTGTGTTGTCTTTAGTTTTTATTTAACTTTATCTGTGTTATTTTCGTTGGTTTATTAGGATGTTGCTTTATTACAGGTAATAATTTGCCAAAAAAGTAGGGTAAATAAGGCAAAATTTAGCCAAACATCGAAAGTACCAGACTCAAATTGATTTTCTCAATAAGAATTTGTATTTAAATTTGGACAATTTGAATTTTGCGAGGTTTTTACAGTCTAAATAGGTGTCCAAATATGAGAGCCTACTGTAAATAGGTGTCCAAATATGAGAGCCTACTGTAAATAGGTGTCCAAATATGAGATCCTACTGTAAATAGGTGTCCAAATATGAGAGCCTACTGTATTTTAGTAAGTCTTCAACTACAATCTTTCAAACCCCTCACCACACCTTAACGAACTAGTGGTCCTTATTACAGTAAAGCCTCGAATAACGACGTTAATGTGTCCTCCAATATTGCAGTGTAAGGTGAATCATCGTATCATGAATCAATAATTACCATCAAAATGAAGCAATAATAATGAGATGTGTTCCCAAGTGTGACCTTTTCATATCTTTTGTGTGGCTTTTTACCCTCTTTTCCCCCAAAACAATACAATTAATGAAAAGTGCAAACTATATTCATTAAATAATGTTTCTGAATGCACCTTATACAATATAAATGAATAATGATATGGTCACACAAGAGGAGATGGGTCGCCATTGTTTTCATTTGTGTTTACAGCCGGGAGTCCGGGACTATAGTTCTACACGAGAAAATGAAGAAAATAAGACCCTGGTTGTAGCTAAAGTAAATTTAATGTAAAAAATTAATATATATGTTTTAAGTAACATTATTTAAAGTTAATAAATGGAACAATAGAAGTAACTAACCACTAATGGCAAAGAAAAAAAAAGAGATGGATTGGGAACGCCAACATATACGTGAGCATTTAAGGATACCACGTCATTTATCTTAAGAATATGTACAAAAGATTCATTATTGTTTATTACCGAATATGCATTTGATTGAATTAATGTTTATATATGCAAAACGAATGATACAATTCATTAATAATACGTAGAATATTAAGACACACAGGAGGATAAGAGGCGGCATTGTTGTCAGTGTTTACACCCATAATGTCAGTTATCCACCTGAAACTGAAGAAAATAAAACCCTGGTTGTTGTTGTAGTGAAATTAATGTAAAAAATATGTGTTTAAATTAATTTTATTTAATGTACAGTAGAAGTAACCACTGATATTAAAGCAAAAAGTGAGACTGATAGTGGAACGCCAATGTATATGTGCGCACTCAAGGAAACAGTCATTTATCTTAAGAATATGTACAAGAGATTCATTATTGTTATTACTGAATATGTATTTGATTGAATTTAAGTTTATGTATGTGAAATGAACTATACAATTCATTAATAATACGTAGAATATTAAAACACACACGAGGAGACAAGACGGCATTGTTTTCGTGAGTGACGATGGTTCTACATAAGAAACTGAAGAAAATAAGACCCTGGTTGTAGCTGTAGTGAACTTAATTTAAAAAAATTGAATACCTGTATAAATGTTTTAAGTAATGTTATTTAATGTTAATAAATGGAACACTAGAAGTGGCTAACCACTAATGGCAAAGAAATAAGGTGAGACGATTGGGAACACCAACGTATGATGCGTACATGTGAAAACATATTGTTCATCTCAACATATGAATATGAAAGCAACACTTATTTACTGTTCATATATGTTTTAAATAATATTTATGAATATAAAACAAAAATTCTACTCACCAATGGCGGTAAAGTCTAAAACATAAGGACAGCCAATGAATATTGTGCGAGGTACTACTCAGATGATGAAGTCATCAGGTTCAACTCTAGCTGAAGCTTTCCATAAAGCTGTTGCTGAAACTGTTACTGAAGTTAATGTTTAAGCTGCTTATGATGCTGAATTTGACGGTGTAGCTGAAGTTGATGGTTTAGGCCTTTGAATAATAAAGCTGTCGAAAGAATCTTGCACAGCTGCTTTCTTTTCTCATTATACATCTTTATGTAGAGGTCATTTGAGTTTATTTAAAGTTTAATGCTTTGTTCTGTTAATGGATCCACTTCAGAAAATATGTTCATTGCTTGCTCCATATAATATCCACAGACCTCTCACCTTTTTCATATTGTTTTAACACGTCTAGTTTCTCGGCTAAGCTTAGACACTTTCTATTAGCTTTTGAAACAACACTACCATCACTTGTTCTCTTGCTCATGTTGAATAAGGATGCAAAAATGCTGAAGAAACCTGAAAGTTTTTCTCTAGTTCCTGTTCCAGATGCGTAAAAACAAAAGGCCCGCCAAGCTCAGACTGTTGTTAACCACTCATTAGCCAGGCAGCTTCTTTGCACAAGGCGCTCTTAATTACTTTTACATTTTTTTTTAATAATACAGTACATATCGGGATTTAGTTTTTATTTATATGAAAATGTAATTTTATTTTATTTTTATTATATTTTGGTAGTAATTACGAATGAAATAAAGACGTATATTGAATAGGGTCCTAAATTAACTAGGGTTTTAAATATGAAAAGTTGCTGGTCAAACCGTTGTTATCGGAGGCTTTACTGTACTCCGAGACTCACCTGCGTAGTTTGTGAAGTAGGATGTTGCTGTGTGACAATAGGTCGGCCGGTGCCCATATACTGCTGTGTTACCATCTGGTCCACTGGGGAGTTGCCCTTCAAGCCTTTACTTCTGGCCTGTTACAAGGTGGAGATGGAATCATGAGACTTTTTAACTGTTGCACTATAGTTTGGTGTCCTTATATACAGAAATTTTATGTATTATATTTCATTAACTCTCAACCAGCAGTTAAATATTCTCTACTATTTTCCAACACGTTCAAAATATGGAATGCCAGGAACATGAAACTTCCAATGATGATGATTGCAGTTTAAAGGTTAAAAGGTATTCAAAACTACTGTATTCAATATTGACAACATGATAGTCAAAATTCACCTTCTTTTCCTGCTCTTTTTTATCAAAATAATCCAGAAAGAGAGGCCGATCAAGTCGCTCGCCAGGTGCTGTGTCGTGTCCTGTTGAGAAAAGTAAAAGTTAGGAGGAAAAATTTACAATGTACTGTAATGTGTAAGTATATAGTATATAATCAACAACCTCACCAGCCAGGACTCGAACCCTCGACCTTTTGCGTGTGACCAGGGATTGCTACCACCGTGCCACAAGGACACCAAATGCAATCCTAGACTTTGTTTTATTCACACAAAGCCTGTTCATCGTGCTTATGGCGCCGTGAACCTCCATGGACTATATGGACTAATGAAATATATATGGAACCTCGTGTTTCGAAGCTTGACACAGTAAAATGCTACTCCCACCACATAAGTGGCACGGGCAATCCTCAATTGGAGGTTCAAGGCGCCATAAGCACGATGAACAGGATTTGTGTGAAATATAACAAAGTCTAGGTATCCTTAAATGTGCACGTACATGTTGGCATTCCCAATCCATCTGTATTTTGTTCTTTGCTATTAGTGGTTAGCTACTTCTATTGTTCCATTTATTAACATTGAATAACATTACTTAAAACATATATATTAATTTTTTAACATTAATTTTACTACAGCTACAACCAGGGTCTTATTTTCTTCATTTTACAGTGTAGAACTATAGTCCCGGACTCCCGGCTGTAAACACAAACGAAAACAATGGCGACCCATCTCCTCTTGTGTGACCATATCATTATTCATTTATATTGTATAAGGTGCATTCAGAAACATTATTTAAAGAATATAGTTTGCACTTTTCATTAATTGTATTGTTTTGGGGGAAAAGAGGGTAAAAAGCCACACAAAAGATATGAAAAGGTCACACTAGGGAACACATCTCATTATTATTGCTTTATTTTGATGGTAATTAATGATTCGCGATAAGACAATTCACCTTACACTGTAATATTGGAGGACACATTAACGTCGTTATTCAAGGCTTTACTGTACATTGTATGTATACTTTTTCTGTGAGTTGGAACCAATTACCCAATATCTCATTGAAATAATTTTCAGTTAACGAAATTTTAGGTTAACAAACGACTCTGTGGAACCAATTATGTTCGTTAATCGAAGGACCACTGTATCATGAAAGTTCATGAACAACAAAAAACTACCTAACTAATGATAAATAGTACACAACGATTGTACTGTAATTTACAACCTAACACAATAAAAGCATTAATAAAATACTATCTTGAGGAAAATCTAAAGGTTTAACACAACCACCATTTGCATAGACATTAGCTGTATAGCCTCGAGCCTCACCATCACACATCTATCAACCCATAGCAAAAGGGCTCCCACACTTGGTTCCATTCTCACACACTAAGAAATGTTTGTTCCCTTTATGTTTTAAACACTGATACAATAGTTATTTCTTTTACCCTTTTTTGAGGGCACATTCTATATGTAGGATTGTGTGTGTATGTAACTGGGTAAAAAAGAAAATTTATGAAGAAAGTTTTGTTTATCTATCAGAAATTACGAGTTGAAAAATAACCATAGCTCACACCTCAGCCTGTAGGGAGAGGGGCCAGGGGGATGTGGTCGCCCCAGCTGACTCCCGGGGCGGGGGTCATAATTTGAATATTAACTTGGACCAAAATTCATATAAGCCGAGGAAACTTTTGTTAAATGAAAGAGGTGTTAATTTAGGAAATTCGTATAAGCTAATTTTTGCATCTCTGCACATTTAACTTCACAAATACTGAATTTTACAAATATTTTTATCCCCTACGCCCCAGTTGGCGTTCTGGCAAGTCCATCTAGGGTGCCCAGGTTGACGTTCTGGAACGCACTCCTTTATGCGCCGTTGTTTGAATGCCCAGGGCGGGTCATTAGGTTCCAGCATGACTATTTGATGGTCACGCGACACGCAGGGTAGAGTGGGTGGGCTCAGTGTGGTTAGTATGCATTAGCCTGTCACCATGGAGAGTCATACCTCAACTTGGTGACAGACTGTGTGTGTCACTGAGCACTTTTAATGAAAACTAATGCAGTAAATCAAATTCTAAATGAATTATTTATAGGAAATAAGTATTATGATCAGTAAATATATGCATTACTGGCCATCCCGGACACAAAGGCAAGCATAAAATGGCCGCTAAGTAGATAGTGACCACGAGCGTCAGCCGTCAATACAACACGGTCCCTTTATCTCCTTCCCCACTGTGGCCTCAGGGAAGTTCTAGAGGGTCAATATATAGTTTTTCTTACTTTTTTTATTGTTTTACCATTTAAAAAGGTTAAAAATAATTTTGGGAAAAGTTTATTTTTCTCGATTTACCTCCGGGTGGGGGGTACGCCCAGCGACACCCTAGCCCGGGGCGGAGGAGTTAAACTATTACACCGTCCATTTTTACAACATCTTATTTCTTATTACACTGACGTATTCCTTTGCTTTTCCTATTTTTGGCAAGTTTATCCCCTACTGTATCATAAAACACTAATATACACAGTACACTATCCACACTATTAAACAAATTTCAACTGATAAATATCATTAGTATTTTATATTTTCGATTTATGTTTTCTGTTGGATTCCACATGATTCCTCATTGCTCTTTTTGTTTATTCCACTAACATTATTTTGAATTTCTTTGACTGAGAAACATGCACTACAAAACAATACAGTGGGGTATGCTATAACGAATCTAATTGGTTCTAGAACCTTGTTCGTTATAGCATTCATTCGTTATAGGATTAATCCGTTCCAGGCCCCAAAATACAACCACTTAACACTGAAAAATATAATATAAATTTGTAAAAATTGTAAAAAAGTGCATAAATATGCATCTAAACCCCTGAAATAAAGAATATCATTAATACTTGTAATAAAAAAACAATAAATTAGTAAAAAAAATAAAAAATTTAAATAATGTTCGTTGTAGGAGTTTCGTTCGTTATAGCATTCTCAATTTTATAGGTAAAACCGTTCATTATAGGAATATTCGTAGTAGGATCCGTTCGTTATAGCATACCCCACTGTACGTTGAATGAACTTTTAAGGGTAAACACCGTGACAATGAGGATAACGTCTAGCAACATGGACGGTGCCAACCCAGAGTGTGTTACATGAGACCACCTGAAGGATAGACACCCAAGCTTATTTCATTTGAAGATGAATCACAGTAATGCTATCTGGGGTTAGATTGGATTAGGTTAGTTTACCACTAGCATCATCAATCTTCAGGTGAAATAAAGAAATAATGTGGGGTGGGTAATCTCCAGGTGATCCATTAAATAACTTAGTTTTTCACCCTCTGCTGCAAAATCCAAAACAAGCAGGCTGGATAATATCAAACTCTTAAAGGAGCAAGTCTTATAGTTGAATAAAGCCCATAACATTCACCACATACTGAACACAATTCCCCAAAAGGATTTCTCCAGAGCAACTTGCTAACACATTTCCCCATTACTTTAACAATTATTTCCCTAAAGCTTCTATGATAAAAACATTAAAAACTCCCTTCCAGTTACAAATAGTTTCATGCACGCACCCCACACACCCTATCTTACCATGACACAGAAGCCCACACGAGTACAGATCCAGAAGACGAGGTATTTCACCCACTCGGCCCTAAGCTCGGCCACACACCAGGGTTTCCTCCACTATATATGCATACACAGTGGCCGAGAAATAACTGACATGACACGCAACAGTCTCGATGTGTGTATATGCGCTCCAAAACGTATATTTACGTGTTTGTGCGAGACATTATAACAACGGATGAAGGATTTTGACAACTGTTCCGAGAAAACGGTGTTTGAAATTCATTGGACCCTTCCATAGAGATATTTCTTGGAGCAAGTGTACCTCCACTGTATGTGTTCTTAGATGTGTATGATGGATATTGTGTAGTGTATACGCTGTGCAGTTATGTTGTGTAGTGTGTGTGATGTGTGTTGTATAGTGTGTGTGTGACGTACAATAATAATGGCAGAATTGTACACAAGACAACAACATCACATCAAACTCTACTAAAATCTTTTACTTTTCATGGTGGAGTCTTCGTCATCCTCTTCATTATCCGAGTTTATTACCATCGTCCCGAGGTCCGTGCTGAGGGTTCCCGTGCCACCGCCGGGGGCCTTCAACGTTCCCCCGCAATCCAACGGTGCCATCAGCGTGCCTTCATTGTTGAGTGGCTTGAGGGTGCCGCTGTTGCCTCCCCCGGCACTGTATCGAACCATGGTGCTGCTATCCACGTCATCTTCATCCTGGACAAGAGATGACGGTTAGTGACGAGGTTAACAAGGTCAAAGGTACCGTACGTCCCTATAAAGTCGCGTGTGACACCCGTCCATATTTCGAACTGTCACACAAATAGGCCAATTACAGTACAGCACAAGTTGAATTTCCTCTAATCACTTCAATCTTAATCTCAATTCCTCTCAAACTCACACTTCATCTCAATCTTAATTCATGTCTAATAAATGTTTCCAACCTCATTAATCTCTCTCTCATGGTATCTTAACTTTAATCAACCCAAGTCATCAATTGTCTCCACCTGAACTGACTCAAATTCGCACACAGTCTACATCATTTAGTCTCAATCTTTCACCACCTCAGTACTTACCGAGAGAGTCGAGAACATCTTCACCCAACACTCCAATATTCAAAACTGTATTATTTAGCATCAACTCCACAATCATATGGGTCACGATTCTCAAAGGTTCAGATGTCAAGTTTTCCTCATTATCGGATGCGTATATAAACGAGTTAGGACGAAAGATATGATTAAAGTTTACAAGATGTTAGTATTAATCTTTAGTTGCTTCATGCACCCAGGACAAGTATTACCTCAGTTTACTCACCCAGGTCAAGTATTACCTCAGTTTACTCACCCAGGACAAGTATTACCTCAGTTTACTCACCCAGGTCAAGTATTACCTCAGTTTACTCACCCAGGACAAGTATTACCTCAGTTTACTCACCCAGGACAAGTATTACCTCAGTTTACTTCACCCCCAGGACAAGTATTACCTCAGTTTACTCACCCAGGACAAGTATTACCTCAGTTTACTCACCCAGGACAATTATTACCTCAGTTTACTCACCCAGGAAGACACCTCAGCAGTATTACCTCAGTTTACTCACCCAGGACAAGACACTCTGGGTATTACCTCAGTTTACTCACCCAGGACAAGTATTACCTCAGTTTACTCACCCAGGACAAGTATTACCTCAGTTTACTCACCCAGGACAAGTATTACCCAGACAAGTATACCTCAGTTTACTCACCCAGGACAAGTATTACCTCAGTTTACTCACCCAGGACAAGACACCTCAGTTTCATCACCCAGCTATTATCAGTTTACTCACCCAGGACAAGTATTACCTCAGTTTACTCACCAAGTATTACCTCAGTTTACAAGGACAAGTATTACCTCAGTTTACTTGGACAAGTATTACCTCACTCACGGACAGGTATTACACCAGTTTACTCTACCCAGGACAAGTATTGCCTCAAGTTTACTCACCCAGGACAAGTATTACTCAGTTTACTTTTCAGTTGCTCACCCAGACAAGTATTACCTACTCACCCATCCCCACCCAGGACAAGTATTACCTCAGTTTACTCACCTTAGTTTACTCACCTAGGACAAGTATTACCTCAGTTTACTCACCCAGGACAAGTATTACCTCAGTTTACTCACCCAGGACAAGTATTACCTCAGTTTACTCACCCAGGACAAGTATTACCTCAGTTTACTCACCCAGGACAAGTATTACCACAGTTTACTCACCCAGGTCAAGTATTACCTCAGTTTACTCACCCAGGACAAGTATTACCTCAGTTTACTCACCCAGGACAAGTATTACCTCAGTTTACTCACCCAGGACAAGTATTACCTTAGTTTACTCACCCAGGACAAAGTATTACCTCAGTTTACTCACCCAGGACAAGTATTACCTCAGTTTACTCACCCAGGTCAAGTATTACCTCAGTTTACTCACCCAGGACAAGTATTACCTCAGTTTACTCACGGGTCAAATATTACCTCAGTTTACTTACCCAGAACAAGTATTACCTCAGTTTACTCACCCAGGACAAGTATTACCTCAGTTTACTCACCCAGGACAAGTATTACCTCAGTTTACTCACCCAGGACAAGTATTACCCAGTTTGCCACCCAGGACAAGTATTACCTCAAGTATTACCTCAGTTTACTACTCACCCAGGACAAGTATTACCTCAGTTTACTCACCCAGGACAAGTATTACCTCAGTTTACTCACCCAGGACAAGTATTACCTCAGTTTACTCACCCAGGACAAGTATTACCTCAGTTTACTCACCCAGGACAAGTATTACCTCAGTTTACTCACCCAGGACAAGTATTACCAAAGTTTACTCACCCAGGTCAAGTATTACCTCAGTTTACTCACCCAGGACAAGTATTACCTCAGTTTACTCACCCAGGACAAGTATTACCTTAGTTTACTCACCCAGGACAAGTATTACCTCAGTTTACTCACCCAGGTCAAGTATTACCTCAGTTTACTCACCCAGGTTAATTACTACTTCAGTTCTGACAAGTAAAAACAAAATTACTTCCCAAACTTAACAAATAATACATAAAAAAATCGATTGAATTTAATAACTGCCAATATAGTTTTAGCCAGTTTGAATAACAGTCAAATACAATAGAGAACTTATTAACATGAAGCAACCCTCCCAAGTACAGGTCCAGATGAAACAGTCAGCGTAACATCATTTGCTTCCCTCAGTGACTGTTTATGTCACAGGCAAGGTAACCACAGAGTCTCGGTCGAGTGTCAAGCAAAACGCACACAACTTATTTTATCTCAAGTCTTTAAAAAAAAAATTGATAAGGACAAGAATTGGAAGAAAAAAATACAGCCTAATTCACTGCCTTCCTCCGGCTTTGTAGGTTATACTTAAAACTTGTATGTGAACTTTCAAAACCAAAAATAAAATATTCTGACATTACAATAGGAAAACCCATTTTTACGTGACAAGTTTGCGCTAGAAAACAAAATCTTTGATTCATTTCAAATATAAATTGTATTCGTGTTCATACTTTTCACACTTCACTAATCCACGCTGACCATTGGCTTGAAAAATTTGATAGGAAGCTCTGGAATGGCACCAAAATTACACCAAGACTCGACCATAACCGGATACGTCCTCTTGACATCATTACAGAACCTTTGTGATTTTCTGACCATAACACAATTCTCACAAGGAGAGGAAGAGAAGGAAACATAACACTCACAGAAATCTACTCTAGCAGTCAGTATCAAGCATATTAACAATACTAAACAGATATGCCACATGCATTGACGAGCACCAACCAGTGATGTATTCAAAGCTATGATAACCATACCCAAACTTAGCATTTACATTACACCTGAAGATTATCCGCCCAGGCCCCTCTTGCTTAACTTGGAACCTCATGCTCTACCACCCTTAAAACCTCTGTGTGTGTGTGTGTGTGTGTGTGTGTGTGTGTGTGTGTTGGAGGGAGGCAATCTTTTGGTGATCGATTAAGGCTAAAATTGTGAATGGTCTTGCTCATAATATCAGACCAAAGCTATTACACTGTCAGGGATGTAATTCTCCCAATCAATCGTGTATTTGCGGTCTCAAGGCAATCACTGTTACTAATCTACTTAAAATGTGTGCCATGCATGACTCCGTGCACCCTGTTCAAACAATAGCACAATGAATAACTTAATATGCAGGCATAATCTGAGAATAATTTACACACAAAGATGCAAACAAATAATTCATATATTTTTTTTTCAGTCCAACATGCAAAACTAAAAATGGAGAAATCATACATGCAAATAAAAAAATGCAGTACAAGAAGCATATTTTAACAGCAGCTCTACAGACATAATGCATAGTAACTAGCTACACACAGTTATTAACTACACAGGCAAATACAAGAAATAAATGCTAACTATGCAAGCCCAAAACCTTAACCAAAACATGAAAAATTAATGCAGTAATAACAAACGTGACTGAACTCACCAATCAGTCAAATCAAGGCAACAGCAATCAAGACAAAGAATTTCCAAGCAACAGCTGTGTACATCAATTCCAACATGGATATTTGTCAGACAGTGTTTAGTCACAAATTACTTCTCAGGGTGACTCGCAGCGACACTTACCACACATCAATGCATAGTTTAACCACGAGACACCTAATAAAATGCCTTCATGCTATGCCAGTAAAGGATTCATATCAGGGATCAGTGTTGTGCAAATACTGTTTTTTTGGAACCTGTGTGAATGTGTGTATAAAGAAATCATTTATATCATATCTATGGGTCTAAAGCATCAGTGGCTAATCCAACTCGCAACTCAACTTAAAAGCCTGTACAAAAATTCATGTTTTGAGGAAAAAAAATATATGCATGTAGTGGTCCCTCAATTAACGTACAGTCCAATTAAAGAAATTTCGGTTAATGAATTAGCTCCCATTAGGATTTTCAATTCCATTAACGAACAAAACTTTGATTAACGAAAGCCTTACAAGAAACACTTTGTTGTGCGCATCAGATGATCGGCCAGTCCGCCAATACAGTAATTGGTTCTATGTTTACATTCGTTTCCAGTAGAGTAAATATCAAGAAAGTTGTGCTCTTTAATATTTTTGCATTTTTTATATTAAAATTATTGGTCATTCTAATTTAGTTAACATATTGATAATATATACAGTGCAGGGAACAGTTTTTGTGTGCCAATCAGCTGATCGTATCACCCACCAACGCTTCTTAGTTTAACTTTGTTTACAGTGGAGTGAACATAGGGTTTGTTGGTCTCTTGAATATTTTTGCATTTTTACATTAAAATTATTAGTCATTCTGAAATTTAGTTCACATATTGATAATATACAGTGCATAAATTATTATGAAACATGAAAAACGCATTAGAACCAATGCACTCTGTAAAGAATATGGCATGTCATCATCGACTGCCTCTACAATCAGCCGTTTGATATGTAAACAAAGCTGCCGGGAATACGACATCCACACCTCAAAGTAAGATAAAATACAGTATTCTTCTTTTTTATTTATTATTGTACAGTATACTGTTCAGTACAGTACTGTATTTAGTTTATATTTAATGTTTTGTTAATTCTATCACCGGTATACAGTACAGTAAAGCCTTGAATAACGACGTTAATGTGTCCTCCAATATTGCAGTGTAAGGTGCATTGTCTTATCGCGAATCATTAATTACCATCAAAATAAAGCAATAATAATGAGATGCGTTCCCTAGTGTGACCTTTTCATATCTTTTGTGTGGCTTTTTACCCTCTTCCCCCAAAACAATACAATTAATGAAAAGTGCAAACTATATTCCTTAAATAATGTTTCTGAATGCACCGTATACAATATAAATGAATAATAATATGGTCACACAAGAGGAGATGGGACGCCATTGTTTTCATTTGTGTTTACAGCCGGGAGTCCGGGACTATAGTTCTACACGAGAAAATGAAGAAAATAAGACCCTGGTTGTAGCTAAAGTAAATTTAATGTAAAAAATTAATATATATGTTTTAAATAACGTTATTTAATGTTAATAAATGGAACAATCGAAGTAACTAACCACTAATGGTAAAGAAAAAAAAAAGAGATGGATTGGGAACGCCAACATATACGTGAGCATTTAAGGATACTGTGTCATTTATCTTAAGAATATGTACAAAAGATTCATTGTTGTTTATTACCGAATATGTATTTGATTGAATTAATGTTTATATATGCGAAATGAACAATACAAATCATTAATAATACGTAGAATATTAAAACACACGCGAGGAGACAAGACGGCATTGTTTTCGTGAGTGACGACGGATCTACATAAGAAACTGAAGAAAATAAGACCCTGGTTGTAGCTGTAATGAACTTAATTTAAAAAAATTGAATACCTGTATGAATGCTTTAAGTAATGTTATTTAATGTTACTAAATTGAACACTAGGAGTAGCTAACCACTAATGGTAAAGAAATAAAGCGAGACGATTGAGAACGCCAACGCATGTGAAAACATAAGGTCATTTCTCAACATATGAATATGAAAGCAACACTTATTTACTGTTCATATATGTTTTAAATAATATTTACTTATGTAAAACTAAAATTCTATTCACCAATGGCGGTAAAGTCTAAATCATAAGGACACCCAATGAATATTGTGCGAGGTTCTACTCAGATGACGAAGTCATCAGGTTCAACTCAAGCTGAAGCTTTCCATAAAGCTGTTGCTGAAACTGTTACTGTTTAAGCTGCTTATGATGCTGAATTTGACGGTGTAGCTGAAGTTGATGGTTTAGGCCTTCGAATAATAAAGCTGTCAAAAGAATCTTGCACAGCTGCTTTCTTTTCTCATTATACATCTTTATGTAGAGGTCATTTGAGTTTATTTAAATTTTAATGCTTTGTTCTGTTAATGGATCCACTTCAGAAAATATGTTCATTGCCTGCTCCATATAATATCCCCACACCTCTCACCTTTTTCATATTGTTTTAACACGTCTAGTTTCTCGGCTAAGCTTAGACACTTTCTATTAGCTTTTGAAACAACACTACCATCACTTGTTCATGTTGAATAGGGATGCAAAAATGCTGTACGAAACCTGAGAATGTTTTTCTCCTGTTCTTGTTCAGATCCGTGAAAACAAAAGGCCCGCCAAGCTCAGACTGTTGTTTACCACTCATTAGTAAGACAGCTTCTTTGCGCAAGGTGCTCTTCATTTTTTTTTGAAGCAATTTCTTTTTTTTATATAAATACATATCGAGATTTAGTTATTATTTTTATGAAAATGTAATTTTATTATATTTTTATTATATTTTGGTCGTAAATTCGAATGAAATAAGGATGTAAACTGAATTGGGTCCTAAATTATCTAGGGGTTTCAAATACGAAAAGTTGTTGGTCGAACAGTTGTTATCTGAGGCTTTACTGTACTTTGTATGTACTTTTTCTGTGAGTTGGAACCAATTACCCGTTGAAATAATAGATTCAGTTAATGAACGACTCTGTGGAACCAATTGTGTTCGTTAATGGGACCACTGTACCTCTCCAACACAACTATTTTTTTTGTATATATTGAAGTTCAGAGATTGAAAGCTAACTCACTGATTTCTTTATACCCAAAGATACACAATAATCACCATCTTCACACAAACACTTATGAAGGTTCCAAAAGTCATCCTCATGCCAACCTGACTCTCTGATGCGACCCCTTATACGACTACTAACCTGAATCTCAGTGTTAGCAAGGTTGTGGTGGTGGTGTTGATGATGAGTTTGATTGTGTTGGTTGTTTTTGTTATCCTGCTCAGCTTGCACATTCATTCTTGGCAATTGGAGTTGAGGAACTTGTTGCTGTAGAGGAGTGAGGGACATTTGGGGCATGTTGTTATTATTAACCCACCATACACATTCTCCAGCGACGTAGTCCAGACCACCAACTAAGTCATCTGCATAATTTTTGCCTTTGGGGATCACCTGAAATCCCCCCCCCCAACACCATAGTTTTGGGGTGGTTAAAATTCAGGCTGGTTAAGCTCGGGTGGGGGGGGGAACTTCAGGTGATCCGTAAGGTTAAAGTTGTGAGTTGTCTCGGTGTTGATCACAACTACGTCACACACCTAAACCCATTTTCATACAAAGCTCTATGAATGACAACACATGATGAACTTTGCCAAAAAAAAATTAATGTAGACCTTTCTTTCAACATGATCTATTCCCACTACAACTTCAAGTACTGCATTTCAAGCACTGGAGAAATCTTTACTCAGTCAACAGTTTAGTAAAAAATTGTTAGCTGTCTTCATGTATTTTGCTTTCATGAATTTTTATAGGGAACTACATTTCACATACTACTTCTTTTTAACGAATTACATTTTACAAGAAAAAATAAGATATATTTTTGTGGACATAAGGCATAGAATAGATAGACAACGCATCTCTTTTCATGTGAAACAAATAGGCAAGAGAGCACTGAGCATTGACAAATCAAGTAACATGTTCCTAATTCCTTTTCTTAATGTGCTGTAAAATCTCAAATGGGGTCTTTCCTTTAGCTAGAATTATATTTAGTTTGATATATTATTCCTCCTTACTCACTGAGCTAAAAGCAATACCCCATCAAACTGAGGAAGAATAAAACATACAGTACTGGCTTAGTGATACAACATAGAAGAAGTACTTTGTTTACACTGTAGTATTTATAATGTGTGGGCACCTAGGGAGACTTGGAGTATCTAAGTACAGTACAGTATTAACCATAGGTATTTAGCTTTCTTAACCACAAACTAGCAACTAAGGGTTCCTTACTCTTCCACATTACAATTCCTATCATTTGAGTTTCTTGCTGCTGAGTTAAAGGCAATTCATATCCTGTATCAATGGAAAAAATGGACATTAATTCGATGATGATGCTTAGTAGCCACGTAGAGCACTTCAATAGGTGTAAGAGCTGCTAACAAAGCCGTAAGTGGGTAGAGGTTGGTTAATACACTGCCATAATTCTGTGAGAGAGATGATTCAGGAAGTCTGCCCTCAAGATGTTGGAGGAAAGGAGTCTTGCTGATGACTTCCCTTCACAATTCTATAGTTTTCTGGCAGTAATGTTCCTTGTGAGTAAATGAGGCACTCGTGTACACAAATCACCATAACATGTTTTCCTTTCACAGCCACCAATAATCTGTTAGAGGAACCCTCTACAGCGGACATCCTTCAGTAACGAAGGACACAGAGCCTCACACTTAAGCCCGGTAGTCAGTACTCCAACAAGCTGAGCAAAAATGTGTTTATAATAAAGCACTTGAGCAAGCTTGAGCCATTCATTTTTTTTTGCATTAATTTATTTTACCCTTTTTTTCATATCAATTGGCTTACATTTTACCTTCACAGAAATGTATAAGCTGAAATCATCAAAAAAATCTCTGCGATAAATATAGTTAACCAGACGGACAAATTATAGTTCCGACAACAACAAAAATCCAGTACCTGTATATATATTCATGTTTTATACGGACATTACAACAGCTAACACCAAGTCCCCCAATAACACATGCAATAGTTAACTAAAAATTATACCTTTAACCCATTATTAGATTCTACAATACACCCACACAAATTATAGATCTATTGTTAATTAATTAGTCCTCCACCATATATAAAATAAATAGTTAAGCTTAAAATATTTGTTGATACTGACATACATTCTCCGCAACACGTGTCATAACAAGCCGGAAGAAATTAATTGGCGGCAAAATAAGTAGCACACACACACATAAGAGCAGCACATAATATACTCGTCTTCAATACCATTTCTCATAAAATCCTATGAACTCCAAGAATGATGATTATGTGGGTACAGTAATGGTGGTCAAAAATACTTTGTTTTTTTTACCAACACAAACCTTTACCATTAAGGAGCGGAGTGGCCTGAAGGAAGAGGTGGACACACACACACACGGAGTTGTAAAGTAATGAAATAAATTTGCTTAATTACTATACTTTAGGTAACATTTTGGGGTATTTTCTAGTTAAAAAGTAATCCAATTTTTCAATACTTTTACTCCAATACTACTGGAAAAAACAAAAATCGTTACTCATTACCCCAAACAATTGTTTTAAATATCCAATCACACATACAGGAGAAATTTTGAAGCTAACCAATCACAAGAGTTTCTTCACGTCTGGACCAATCAAATGCGTTCTTTCATGTCGTTTCATCTATGTACCCAAGCACTAAAGACCAAAAAATTACCATTCTAATAGTCAATGAAGTTACTATAAACAATGCAAATTTACACTATCAGCAATGCAAGTCACTAGAATGGTAGATCAGTTTGCCCTAAAATGAAATTAATGTTTTGATATTGATGTAATTTGTAGCTTAGTTGACAAATTGTCATCAGTTAAAGGCAAAAAAGAGTACAGTACTTATCCTTCTAGTGCTAGTTTTCTTTATACCCGTGTGCAAGGCGATAGCCATTTGTTACCCTGACTCAGTCGTTTGTTTGGTCTCAAGTGATGCCAAAATGGCAACGGATATACTGTTGGTGGCTGATTTTCCCATGAAGTAATAAAGAGAGATATTACAATAATAAAGTTCTGAATACCTGACAGTCACGAGTTAGGTGGCAGTGGGAGCCGGAACTCGGGAACTTCACAATACAGTAATAACATAAAACCAATTGTTTATTTATATTATTATATACATGATTCTTTACTTAGAAGAGCTCAGCATCTCTTTCTTACTTGAATCTAGTGGGAGAGCTATGAAGACCAGGGAAATGTGGGGTTAAGTATGCACATTGATTGATTTTCAAAATTCTGACCCAAGAAATGGATCAGGCAACCTCCCAAACTGCATTTATAAAAATCAAACCAAGATGTAGAACAGGCAACCCCCAAAAGTTTAACCTAGGAATGCTGCATCAAAGTTACCTTTTTTAGGTCATCATTCTTTTTGAAGAACTTGCATGTACTGTACTATATTTTGCCTCGATTTTTTTGTAAATCAACCTTCTGTTTTAACCTTGTTTTAGGCATTTGCTTTCATTAAATGGTTACTTTGAACATATCAAGTAAACTCTGCAAATAAACATGTGTCATGCCAAGTGTTTTATTTTTAGTGAACTTTTTTTTTATTGCCGATTTATTATAATACAGTATTTGAGACGATTAATAATTTTGCCGTTACTTTTTACTTTCGGTACTTGAGTAATTTATGAATGAGATGCTTTTTTACTTCTACTCGAGTACATTAAATGTTGGATACTTTTGAGTAACATTTTGCCAACGTAACAATACTTTTACTTAAATAACAAAGTCCGGTACTTTTTAAAACTCTGCACGTACCAACTCCTTAACCTCTCCCTCCAGACATTATCCGTGTATTGGTCACTTCTCAAAACCTACAAAAACCTGTTTAAGAGGTGAAAGCAACAACAATATGATACAATATATTTAAAGGCAGATTAACTGAAAGTCAATAAATCATCATCATAAGTTTGTTTTTCTTTTTAAGCAACTGGCAAGAAGCTTGTTGACAAATCAGCACAAGGTATAGCTGTGGAAGAGACTGTGCTGTATAGACTGGACCCCCCCCCCCAACCCCCTCCAGTCATAACTCCCCACGGCCATGACCTCCTCTCCGAGACTTACCGATTCCGTGATATGTTTGATCTGGTTCTGTCGGTTGGAGTTCTGGCTCTCCCTGATCTCCATGGCCTCCTCCAACATGTTGCGGAGGATGCTGGAGGGTTGTGCTCCCCGGATGAACTGGTGTTGTAGGAGCTCAGAGGCTGTTGCTCGCTCCTCGGGATTCTTCACCAGACATCTAGGAAGGAATGATTCTTAAAAGGCTGTTGTGGACAATATGTTGATTAGTATATGAACGTATGGTATTTAAAGTGCTGTGTGTATGTTGATTTAGTCTATGAACGTATGATATTTAAAGTGCTGTGTGTATGTTGATTTAGTCTATGAACGTATGATATTTAAAGTGCTGTGTGAATGTTGATTTAGTCTATGAACGTATGATATTAAAAGTGCTGTGTGTATGTTGATTTAGTCTATGAACGTATGATATTTAAAGTGCTGTGTGTGTTGATTTAGTCTATGAACGTATGATATTTAAAGTGCTGTGTGTATGTTGATTTAGTCTATGAACGTATGATATTAAAAGTGCTGTGTGTATGTTGATTTAGTCTATGAACGTATGATATTAAAAGTGCTGTGTGTGTGTTGATTTAGTCTATGAACGTATGGTATTTAAAGTGCTGTGTGTATGTTGATTAGTGTATGAACGTATGATATTTAAAGTGCTGTGTGTATGTTGATTTAGTCTATGAACGTATGATATTTAAAGTGCTGTGTGTGTGTGTTGATTAGTATATGAACGTATGGTATTTAAAGTGCTGTGTGTATGTTGATTAGTATATGAACGTATGGTATTTAAAGTGCTGTGTGTATGTTGATTTAGTCTATGAACGTATGATATTAAAAGTGCAGTGTGTATGTTGATTAGTATATGAACGTATGGTATTTAAAGTGCTGTGTGTATGTTGATTTAGTCTATGAACGTATGATATTAAAAGTGCTGTGTGTATGTTGATTTAGTCTATGAACGTATGATATTAAAAGTGCTGTGTGTATGTTGATTTAGTCTATGAACGTATGATATTAAAAGTGCTGTGTGTATGTTGATTTAGTCTATGAACGTATGATATTAAAAGTGCTGTGTGTATGTTGATTTAGTCTATGAACGTATGATATTAAAAGTGCTGTGTGTATGTTGATTTAGTCTATAAACGTATGATATTAAAAGTGCTGTGTGTATGTTGATTTAGTCTATGAACGTATGATATTTAAAGTGCTGTGTGTATGTTGATTTAGTCTATGAACGTATGATATTTAAAGTGCTGTGTGTGTGTTGATTTAGTCTATGAACGTATGATATTAAAAGTGCTGTGTGTATGTTGATTTAGTCTATGAACGTATGATATTAAAAGTGCTGTGTGTATGTTGATTTAGTCTATGAACGTATGATATTAAAAGTGCTGTGTGTGTGTTGATTTAGTCTATGAACGTATGGTATTTAAAGTGCTGTGTGTATGTTGATTAGTGTATGAACGTATGATATTTAAAGTGCTGTGTGTATGTTGATTTAGTCTATGAACGTATGATATTTAAAGTGCTGTGTGTGTGTGTTGATTAGTATATGAACGTATGGTATTTAAAGTGCTGTGTGTATGTTGATTAGTATATGAACGTATGGTATTTAAAGTGCTGTGTGTATGTTGATATTAGTCTATGAACGTATGGTATTTAAAGTGCTGTGTGTATGTTGATTTAGTCTATGAACGTATGATATTAAAAGTGCTGTGTGTATGTTGATTTAGTCTAAGAACGTATGATATTAAAAGTGCTGTGTGTATGTTCATTAGTATATGAACGTATGATATTTAAAGTGCTGTGTGTATGTTGATTTAGTCTATGAACGTATGATATTAAAAGTGCTGTGTGTATGTTGATTTAGTCTATGAACGTATGATATTAAAAGTGCTGTGTGTGTGTTGATTTAGTCTATGAACGTATGATATTAAAAGTGCTGTGTGTATGTTGATTTAGTCTATGAACGTATGATATTTAAAGTGCTGTGTGTATGTTGATTTAGTCTATGAACGTATGATATTTAAAGTGCTGTGTGTATGTTGATTTAGTCTATGAACGTATGGTATTAAAAGTGCTGTGTGTACGTTGATTTAGTCTATGAACGTATGATATTTAAAGTGCTGTGTGTATGTTGATTTAGTCTATGAACGTATGATATTTAAAGTGCTGTGTGTATGTTGATTTAGTCTATGAACGTATGGTATTAAAAGTGCTGTGTGTATGTTGATTTAGTCTATGAGCATTATGATATTAAAAGTGCTGTGTGTATGTTGATTTAGTCTATGAGCGTATGATATTTAAAAGTGCTGTGTGTATGTTGATTAGTCTATGAGCGTATGATATTTAAAGTGCTGTGTGTGTGTATGTTGATTTAGTCTATGAGCGTATGATATTTAAAGTGCTGTGTGTATGTTGATTTAGTCTATGAGGTATGATATTTAAAGTGCTGTGTGTATGTTGATTAGTGTATGAATGTATGATATTGGTGGTGTGAGGTGATGATGGCAGTGGTGGTGATGTGATGATGATGGTGGTGGTGGTGATGATGACAGGGGTGGTAGTGGTGATGACAGGGGTGGTAGTGGTGATGACAGGGTTGTGGTGGTGGGTGATGTGAGGTGGTGGTGGTGATGAGGTGGTGGTGGTGGTGGTGAGTGCCAGGGGTGGTGGTGGTGATGCTAGGGTGGTGGTGGTGATGCCAGGGGTGGTGGTGATGGTGATGACAGGGTGGTGGTGGTGATGATGCCAGGGGTGGGTGGTGGTAGTGGTGATGACAGGGTGATGGTGGTGGTGGTGATGCCAGGGGTGGTGGTGGTGGTGGTGATGACAGGGGTGATGCCAGGGGTGGTGGTGGTGGTGATGACAGGGGTGTTGGTGGTGGTGATGCCAGGGTTGGTGGTGGTGGTGATGCCAGGGGTGATGGTGGGAGTGGTGATGACAGGGGTGATGGTGGGAGTTGGTGATGACAGGGGGTGATGGTGGTGGTGGTGATGCCAGGGTGGTGGTGGTGGTGATGACAGGGGTGATGCCAGGTGGTGGTGGTGTGGTGATGACAGGGGTGATGGTGGTGGGTGGTGATGACAGGGGTGGTGGTGAGTGGTGATGACAGGGTGGTGGTGGTGGTGATGACAGGGGTGGTGGTGGTGGTGGTGGTGATGCCAGGGGGTGGGTGGTGGTGATGACAGGGGTGATGGTGGTGGTGATGGGGTGGTGGTGGTGAGTGGTGATGACCCAGGGTTGGTGGTGGTGTCTTGGGGGTGGTGGTGGTGGGTGATGCCAGGGGTGGTGGTGGTGGTGGTCTGGGGTGGTGGTGGTGGTGATGCCAGGGTGGTGGTGGTGGTGATGCCAGGGGTGGTGGTGGTGGTGATGCCAGGGGTGGTGGTGGTGTGATGCCAGGGGTGGTGGTGGTGGTGGTGATGCCAGGGGTGGTGGTGGTGGGTGGTGAGTGGGGTGGTGGTGGTGGTGGTGATGCCAGGGGTGTGGTGGTGGGGTGGTGGTGATGCCAGGGTGGTGGTGATGCCAGGGTGGTTGGTGGTGGTGGTGCCAGAGTTGGTGGTGGTGGTGGCAGGGTTGTGGTGGTGGTGGTGCCAGGGGTGGTTGGTGGTGGTGATGTAGAGGTGGTGGTGGTGGTGATGCAGGGTTGGTGGTAGTGGTGATAACAGGGTTGGTGGTGGTGATGCCAGGGGTGGTGGTGGTGGGATGCCAGGGGTGGTGGTGGTGGTGATGCCAGGTGGTGGTGGTGGTGGTGATGCCGGGGTGGTGGTGGTGGTGATGCCAGGGGTGGTGGTGGTGGTGATGCCAGGGGTGGTGGTGGTGGTGATGCCAGGGTTGGTGGTGGTGGTGATGCCAGGGTGGTGGGTGGGTGGGTGGTGGTGTGAGGGTTGGTGGTGTGGTGTGGGGGTGGTGGTGTGGTGATGGCCAGGGTTGGTGGTGGTGGTGATGCCAGGGGTGTGGTGTGGGTGGTGGTGGTGGTGATGCCAGTGGTGGTGGTGGTCTTGGGGGTGGTGGTGGTGGTGATGCCGGGTGGTGGTGGTGGTGGTGCCAGGGTTGTGGTGGTGGTGATGCCAGGGGTGGTGGTGGTGGTGATGACAGGGGTGGTGGTGGTGGTGATGACAGGGTGGTGGTGGTGGTGATGCCAGGGGTTGGTGGTGGTGGTGATGACAGGGTTGGTGGTGGTGGTGAGCAGGGGTTGGTGGTGGTGGTGATGCCAGGGGTGGTGGTGGTGGTGATGCCAGGGTTGGTGGTGGTGGTGATGCCAGGGTGGTGGTGGTGGTCTGGGGTGGTGGTGGTGGTGGTGATGCCAGGGGTGGTGGTGGTGGTGATGCCAGGGGTGGTGGTGGTGGTGATGCCAGGGTGGTGGTGGTGGTGATGCCAGGGTGGTGGTGGTGGGTGATGCCAGGGTGGTGGTGGTGGTGATGCCAGGTGGTGTGGTGATGACAGGGTGGTGGTGGTGGTGATGGTGGTGGTGATGACAGGGTTGGTGGTGGTGGTGATGACAGGGGGTGGTGGTGGTGGTGATGACAGGGTGGTGGTGACAATGAAGATGATGGTTATGACAATGAAAACAATGACCAATGCAATCAACTTGACATTTCACTGAGGAGGAAGGAGGAAGGAAGAAGGAGGAAGGAAGAAGAGGAGGAAGGAAGAAAGGAGGAAGGAAGAAGGAGGAAGGAAGAAGGAGGAAGGAAGGAAGGAAAGAAGGGGGAAGGGAAGGAGGAGGAAGGAAGAAGAGGAAGGGAAGGAAGGAGGGAGGAAGGAAGAAGGAAGGGGGGAAGGAAGGAGGAGGAAGGAAGAAGGAAGGAGGAAGGAGGAAGGAGGAAGGAAGGAAGAAGGAAGAAGGAAGGAGGAAGGAGGAAAAGGAAGGAGGAGGAAGGAGGAGGAGGAAGGAGGAGGAAGGAAGAAAGGAAGAAGGAAGAAGGAAGAAGAAGGAGGGGGAAGGAAGGAGGAAGGAAGGAGGAAGGAAGAAGGAAGAAGGAGGAAGGAAGAAGAGGGGAAGGAAGAAGGGGGAAGGAAGGAGGAAGGAAGGAGGAGGAAGAAGGGGAGGGGAAGGAAGAGGGAGGAAGGGAAGAAAGAGGAAGGAAGGAAGGAAGGAAGGAAGGAGGAGGAGGAGGAGGAGGAGGAGGAGGAGGAGGAGGAGGAGGAGGGAAGAAGAAGAAGGAAGGAGGAAGGAAGAAGAGGAAGAAAGGAGGGAAGGAGAAAGAAGAGGAAGGAGGAAGGAAGAAGGAAGAAGAGGAAGGAGGAAGGAAGAAGGAAGAAAGAAGGAAGGAGGAAGGAAGAAGAGGAGGGGGAAGGGAAGAAGGAGGAAGGAAGAGGAGGAAGGAAGGAGGGAAGAAGGAGGGAAGGAAGGAGAAGGGGAGGAAGGGAAGGAAGAAGAGGACCCCTGGAACTGGTCAGGTTCTCGGAATGATGGTGGGGGTTTGGTCGGGATCATGAAGATGGGCGCGCATGGGTGGATGTCTCTGTGGGGAACCTCATGCTGTTATACCTGCAGGACGGAGAACTTGCAACATCAAGGTCGTGGAATGCATCCTGCGCTCCCTAATATCGGTCTGTCTCCAAATTTGTGTCTCAAAAAGTCCATTTTTCCATACATCCTCACATCTTCATAAGCATCCCCAATTGTCATGTTTATCGCTTTTTATGTTTATTTGAGAAAAAAATAATTGCAATACATTATGTTATTCTAATGTAGGTTAGAAATAAAGAAAAATACAGTACAGTGGTCCCTCGGCTACTTAAAAGTTCGATTAATAAAATTTTGGTTAACAAATTAGCTCCCATTAGAATTTTCAGTTCGATTAATGAAGAAAAAAACTTTGATAAACGAAATCCTTACGACAAACCGCCTTTGTTTTGCGCATCAGCTGATCGGCCAGTCCGCCAATACAGTAATCGGTACTATGTTTACATTCGTTTCAGTGGAGTAAATATCAAGAAGGTCGTCTTCTTGAATATTTTTGCATTTATTATATTAAGATTATTAGTCATTTAAAATTTAGTTAACATATTGATAATTGTATGTGTATTATATATGTTGTATGTATACCATGTATGTACCCTACTTATATACATTACTTCTCTTCAGTAGCGTGTGGCAATGCCCCGTTTCATGTCACCAACTTAGATAATGTGCCTGGCGACATCTGGAAGCTGCTAATGTACCACTTACCACATGTCGCCTGAGAGGTCAGAGAGTCAGTTGACCCATATAGGAGTGTAGGGACTACCTGTGCTTGTAAGCGCACCCTTGTATATTTCCGTTGAATAGAACCTACAGAACTCTGCAGGTGTTTCTGTTAGCTCCTGTAGTTAGAACAAGTACCCCAACACCTCAATATATAATATATGCAATACAGGGAACTAGTTTTTTGTGTGCCCATCAGCCGCCTGACTCACCCACCAAAGCATCTGTTTAACTTTGTTTACGTGGAGGAAACATGGTGTTTGTCGCTCTCTTGAATACAGAGTATTTTTATGTTTTTACATTAAATTCTTGGTCATTCTGAAATTTAGTTAACATATTGATAATATATAGTGCAGTGCAGTGTTGATTTAAATAAAATAATCTTTAATTACAGCGAGTGAACTTAAAATTATATTGGTGAAATTACTGCATCAAGCATGGGTGAGAAAGATGATTCCCTCAGTGTTCCTCTCAAAAAGGAAGGATTTTCATGTAAGAGAATCTGTCAGTACAGAGGTTCCTGACATTATTATGGAAGGTGACTCACCTTCAAGCATTAATTGTTTCTCTTCTCCTTCTCCTCCTCCACCCCATTTCTAATTCCATCATCATCATCAACCAGCAACATTCTACATACACACCTCAAAGTAAGTGTACTGTACTGCATTTTGTTATACTTTGTATGTACTTATCTGTGAGTTGGAACCACTACCCAATATCCCATTGAAATAGATTCGGTTATGACGACTCTGTGGAACGAATAGTGTTCATCAACCGAAAGTTGCTGTATATATAAAACTATAACATAAGAAAAATATAGATCATTGGTGTGTATGTATGGGAAGAGAACATATGTATTGAGACGAGACGTAACAGCATCGCCGACTGCAAGCCAGCGACAAGGCACGCTCCTTCCCAATGTGACATCACAACATAGAGCACAGCGTGGCTGCAGCCCACAGTATGGATGGGTTGAGTGTGGGAAGGAGCTGAGTATATTCTGTACATAAAATATTTACTACTATACCTTATGACATACTATGTATCAATTTTATTGTTTATTATAATTTTGATCATTGTGATGTATGCAATTTGAAATTTGTTCAATTAGAGCCAACCTTGTTACAGTACTCACTAAATCATTTAACTCAAAACCACAATAGTGTGGAATAAAGTGTTAAAGTGCAGTCCAATAAATATGGCAGTAGTGTAAGTTTGAAACAATAAAGATTTATGTTTTATTGTATTCAGTTTTTAGCAAATGATCAGCAAATTTTCAAGTTTTTCATGTTTATTCCACACATCTGTGACTTTCAGAAATATGGCCCGGTGGGATGCCAATAAGCACAAATATGTGAGTTAGCCTGTACTGTATATCACTAAATAGATTATAGTCTTCCCTAATATATCACTAAAATATATAGTATCTAATACAGTATAGCACTAAATATATTGTCTTCCTGCTACCAACAGTAATATCTCTGTTAGCTGGAATCCATCAAACCCAGAACTCTCCAATAACCAAAATTGAAATTTTCTCGGAAAATCATTCCCAAAACTTGGATTTTCTGGAAAATTCCAGCTTTTGAACAAATTTCGAGGCACATTTTCCAGAAAATTATCAAAGATTTTCCCGATACCTAGAAATTCGGGATGGGAAATATTTTCCAGTTTAGAGATGACATAATGGGCAATTTCTGGAACTTCCGAGAACATTTTCCGTTACCGGAAAATTTGGGGAGCGAGGATTTTTCCGGCCGAGAGAGTCGTCTCATTCCGAAATCTCTCATTCCCAGAAATGCCCTGCAAATGTTCTGGCTACGGAGATATCTCTATAATCGTAAATAGATAACAGAGTCTTCCTCCTAAATATAACACAGGTTAACAGAACCATCTACACACAGCAAACAGAAGTAACAAATGAACCTGTCAATTTAGCCACTTGTTATAAAAATATCATGAATCACTAATCCAAGAGAAAGGTAGAGAGCCATTCAGTATATTATGTACCATATACCGTAAGCTGTGGTCAAGCAAGAACAAGTGGATATCTGAAATTATCCGTGCCAGGTTTACCCATCATTTAAATCATCCAATAAATAAATCCCCCACCTTACTTCACAACACTGGGAGAGGATTTGTTAATACAAAAAGAGGATTTGCAGTAATCCTGTCTATATAATCTCAAGGAAGATTTAATAATACTAACAGATATATAGTTAAGGTCAACACAAAACGGAGAAGTTTAAACTCATTATAAATACTAGGATTAAATATACTAGTTTGTCTTCAATGAAAATATCCTGAAAGGCTAATTCTGGTACATGATAATTATTCTAATCTCTCAATTGCACTTCACACTTACCAAATGTCTCACTGTAACATACTTTCCCTACCTTCTCATTGTCACCACCTAAGCCCATATATCAGCTACACAGTCGTAACCTATTTCCTGAATCACTTCTGGCCATCCAAAAGGAGTTCCTATCACAGTGTTTCTTTTGGCCATTGTGTCCTGTAAAGGTGCAAAATATTAAACAAATAACTCATCTTAAAACAAACAATTCAGAGGCTACCCTGAACATAATTTTTAAAGCATAAACATATAGGACAATTTTTCCTACTCTTCAATGACCATGCACACCCAGTTTAGCAACACACCCATGGGGCAGTCATTCCATATCTGCCGCTACCAGTCAGAAAGCTAGTTAACAAAGGTAGAGTATGGTGGCAACATCCTCGAAGTGTAACTGACATAGCACAAGTGAATGGTCTTGGCCAACACCTCACTGCAACATTCCATAGCTTTGCCAACACCAACATGATTTATTAGACAGTTGAATATAACTCATTCGGACAGGTGGGAGTCTGGTAGCCAAGGTTAACACAAGAGGAGTTGGAGGGTTTTACCCGATACCTGTTTACGAAGTTCACAGTCTTCCTCCTAAGACTTTAACCTCTTGTGTATGGGTCCTCCTCCGAGCTGAATACTGTATAATCGTAATTAAAATAATATCAAAGTGGCATCCCATAGAGAGAAGAGGTTAAGGTCAAAACACGTATCGATGTAAGATCTCAACGCCCACTTTTCAGTCACAGAATTTTGCAAAGATAAAAAATAATTCTAATAAAAAATATAATATATTAAAGAAAGAAGAAAAGAAGTTTGAAACACTGATGCATTACATTTCTGGTGTGATAAAAGAATAATGTTAGTAAAGTAAATTTTTTTCTAAACATTCTAAAAATAAACTGCTATACAATCCTTACATGGAGAGTGTAGAAACATCAAGGACAAATCATAAAAACAGTCCATTAATACACAGCTAATATACAACCCAGTTTATATCAAGTTACTGTACTGTATATATGGTGGGAGGTGAGGGCAAGTGACCATCACTGCTTCTAGATAACTTATGAGGGTTAAAATATCAACTTAATAATGTACTGTACATGTCTTGTGATAACACAAGTAACCTCATCATAGTGTCACTTCAGTCCTCAGTTTCTCTATGTAATTTGTAACTAAAGAATATTTCATTAATATTAGAGAAGTGAATTTTTCAATAATTATCGACCACAAGGAAAGAAAAATAATCAGCTCAAATATATACAAATACACAATATAAGCACAAAAGTTAAATAAATTAAAAATGTATAAAGTCAAACAATATAAAAAAAAAATTAGTAAACAAATGACAACTACAGCATATATTTACCGACAGTTGACCTGCCACTCCAAAGTCGGCTAATTTGGCATGACCTTGAGTGTTGAGTAAGATATTTCCGGCTTTAATATCCCGGTGAATTTTCCGTCTAAGGTGGAGGTACTTCTAGACCACGCAAGGTGTCGTATATTACAGTCGCTATTTCTCTTCAGTGAGTGTCTTCTTCCTCAGAGCCTCATGATGTCAGATACTGAACCAGCACCACAGTACTCCATTACGATCTGAAATAATAGGATACTTATCAATACCTATGGTTGTAATGTAAATGCAGTCCAGATGATTAAACCCCTATTGCTAACCCAACAAAACCTAACCTAACCTAATACAGTACAACCAAACAAGACCAACACAACCGTAACTTAACACAACCTAACCTAACCTAATCTACCTTAACCTCTAGCTTCCTTGAGAGCCGATCCATGGCAGTTGTTGTCGAGGATCAATCTCGCTCTTCTCTACCAATAATGGTGTCCCACAGGTTCTGTTTCACCTACTCTCTTCCTTCTTTTTATCAATGATTTACTTCACACTACAACCAATTCTTCCATCCTTACATGGATGATTCTACTCTTTACTCTTCTTCACATTTTTCCTTCCTCCCAAATCTCAAACTAGATCTGTTTCTAGAGCTGATATCATTACATCTATCAATGCGGATCTGTGCAGCATCTCTGAACGGGAGGTACAAACTTGGTTAAATTAAATAGTAATAAAACTCAGTATTTACCAATTACACTTTCTAAATTAGATGATCTCCCACCACCATATTTCAGGACGCCATCATTCTGCCAAATCCCGGAAATAAATATGCTAGGTCACCATTTCTCCAATATGTCCTGGAAATCACACAACCTTAATATAGCAGCTGCCTCCCCGAAAGTTGGGAATGCTGTACAGATGTCGCAGTTTACTCCTGAGCAGTTGCTCCAAGTATATAAGGGATTCATTCGTCCTAACTTGGGTACTGCTCTCATATCTGGGGTGGCTCTTCTTCTGTCCAACTGTTAGATAGGTGGAATCAAAGGCATTTCGTCTTATTAACTCTCCTTTAGTCGACAATCTCTTCCTTCTCTTCACCACAATGTTGCTTCACTCTCTCTCACAGGTACTTAACGAGCAATGCCGTGGATTTGGCATCCTGTGTACCGCCGCAAGGCCGTGGCTCGGAACACACGTCTTGCCCAGGTGTGCCCACCATTCTCTGTGGATGTCGGTCATACTAGAATAACCCGTTATAGTGTATCCTTCCTAATCACACAGCCAAACTGTGGAATGCTCTGCCTTCTTCTGTGTTTCCATACTTATACAATCTGTCTCACTATAAGCTGGTTTTCCAGCATCTTCGTGGTAGATTAACACAATATAACCTTTTTCTTCGCTATTTTTAATTTCTTTCTTTATTTTTGCCCCAGGCTCTATTGTGGGTCATCTGATCTGTGCTCCAAGCCGGCTAATTCCCGTATAAAAAACCACACAATGTAGATTTAAATTACAAACAAGTCCCAACAGCTAACACCCACCAATCAAGGCCACCTACAGCTACACCCACCAAAAATGGCCACCTACAGCTAACACCCACCAATCAGGCCACCTACAGCCAACACCCACCAAAATGGCCACCTACAGCTAACACCCACCAATCAGGGCCACCTACTGCTAACACCCACCAATCAGGGCCACCCACTCACCCCACCAAAAAATGGCCACCTGCCAGCTAACACCCACCAATCAGGGCCACCTACAGCTAACACCCACCAATCAGGGCCACCTACAGCCAACACCCACCAAAATGGCCACCTACAGCTAACACCCACCAAAAATGGCCACCTACAGCTAACACCCACCAATCATGGCCACCTACAGCTAGCACCCACCAATCATGGCCACCTACAGCTAACACCCACCAATCAGGGACACCTCAGCTAACACCACCAATCAGGGACACCTACAGCAAACACCCACCAATCAGGACCACCTACAGCTAACACCCACCAATCAGGCCCACCTACAGCTAACACCCACCAATCAGGGCCACCTACAGCTAACACCCACCAATCAGGCCCACCTACAGCTAACACCCACCAATCAGGCCCACCTACAGCTAACACCCACCAATCAGGCCCACCTACAGCTAACACCCACCAATCAGGGACACCCAGCTAACACCCACCAATCAGGGCCACCTACAGCTAACACCCACCAATCAGGGCCACCTACAGCTAACACCCACCAATCAGGGACACCTACAGCTAACACCCACCAATCAGGGACACCCACAGCTAACACCCACCAATCAGGCCACCTACAGCTAACACCCACCAATCAGGGACACCTACAGCTAACACCCACCAATCAGGGACACCTACAGCCACACCACCAATCAGGACACCTACAGCTAACACCCACCAATCAGGCCCACCTACAGCTAACACCCACCAATCAGGGCCACCTACAGCTAACACCCACCAATCAAGCCCACCTACAGCTAACACCCACCAATCAGGACCTACAGCTAACACCCACCAATCAGGCCCACCTACAGCCAACACCCACCAATCAGGCCCACCTACAGCCAACACCCACCAATCAGGGACACCTACAGTAACACCCACCAATCATGGCCACCATAAGCTAACACCCACCAATCAGGACACCTACAGCTAACACCCACCAAACAGGGACACCTACAGCTAACACCCACCAATCAGGGACACCTACAGCTAACACCCACCAAACAGGACACCACAGCTAACACCCACCAATCAGGACACCTACAGCTAACACCCACCAAACAGGGACACTTATAGCACACCACCAATCAGGGCCACCTACAGCTAACACCCACCAATCAGGGCCACCTACAGCTAACACCCACCAATCAGACACCTACAGTAACACCCACCAATCAGGGCCACCCACAGCTAACACCCACCAATCAGGGCCACCTACAGCTAACACCCACCAATCAGGGACATCTACAGCCAACACCCACCAATCAGGACCAAGGTTATAGAAACTACCCATAAGTCAGAATCCTTGAAGTAGGAGCCGTAGTATTTGACAACATGATGGAGTCACACTGCTGCATGATGGAAATTTCTTAATTATCTCCTGAAGGTCAGTGTCAATAGGCACTGCTTGATGGCCAGCACCTGCCCTGACTCTTGTGGAGTGCCTTATACGCCGCCATAGGACCTGCAACCAAAACAAGGGTATATTAGAATATAACCAAAACAAGGGTATAAGATAATGGACCAAAACAATGGTATATCAGATTATGAAACATTATATATAGTATACTAATACCTATATACTGTACAGCGACCATCTAAGTTACAGTATATATGATTATGAAACATTGTAATAACAGTGTAAAATAATAATAATAATAAACGGTTTATTGAAAAGTTTGCAGCTCGAAGGCTGAAAATATACATTGACATAAATGACTTATTACATACATTGGTGGTTTAACAAAAGCCTTCATTAGAGAAAGGTAAAGGAACATATACAGTGAACATACAGATTAATGTTTACACACGTAGATCATGTAAGCTGAGGTGTTGAACAGCAGTGTAGTAACTCCCCACAAATGGTGTTATGAGGGGCATCGTGTGGAGTACTAGTTCCTCACAGGTGGTGTTATGAGGGCCTGATGGTGTAGTAATTCTCTCACAGGTGTTATGAGGGGCCTGATGTGGTGTAGTAATTCTCACAGATGGTGTTATGAGGGGCCTGATGGTGTAGTAATTCCCTCACAGATGGTGTTATGAGAGGCCTGATGGTGTACTAGTTCCCCACAGATGGTGTTGAGAGGCCTGATGGTGTACTAGTTCCCCCAGGTGGTGTTATGAGGGCCTGATGTGGTGTAGTAATTTCACAGATGGTGTATGAGGGGCCTGATGTGGTGTAGTAGTTCCTCACAGATGGTGTTATGAGGGGCCTGATGTGGTGTAGTAATTCCTCACAGATGGTGTTATGAGGGACCTGATGTGGTGTAGTAATCCTTCACAGATGGTGTTATGAGGGGCTTGATGTGGTGTGGAATTCCTTCACAGATGGTGTATGAGGGGCCTGATGTGGTGTAGGAATTCCTCACAGATGGTGTTATGAGGGGCCTGATGATGTAGTAGTTCCCTCACAGATGGTGTATGAGGGGCCTGATGTGGTGTAGTAGTTCCCTCACAGATGGTGTTATGAGAGGCCTGATGATGTAGTAGTTCCTCACAGATGGTGTATGAGGGGCCTGATGTGGTGTAGTAATTCCCTTCCACAGATGGTGTATGAGGGGCCTGATGTGGTGTAGAATTCCCTCACAGATGGTGTTATGAGGGGCCTGATGTGGTGTAGTAGTTCCCACAGATGGTGTTAGTGAGAGGCCTGATGGTGTACTGTTCCTCACAGGTGGTGTTATGAGGGGCCTGATGTGGTGTAGTAATTCCTCACAGATGGTGTATGAGGGGCCTGATGGTGTAGTAATCTTCACAGATGGTGTTATGAGGGGCCTGATGTGGTGTAGTAATCCCTCACAGATGGTGTTATGAGGACCTGATGTGGTGTAGTAATTCCTTCACAGATGGTGTTATGAGGGGCCTGATGTGGTGTAGTAATTCCCTCACAGATGGTGTTATGAGGGACCTGATGTGGTGTAGTAATTCCCACAGATGGTGTTATGAGGGACCTGATGTGGTGTAGTAATTCCTTCACAGATGGTGTTATGAGGGGCCTGATGTGGTGTAGTAAGTTCCTCACAGATGGTGATGAGGGGCCTGATGTGGTGTAGTACCCTCACAGATGGTGTTATGAGGACCTGGTGTAGTAATTCCCTCACAGATGGTGTATGAGGGCCTGATGTGGTGTAGTAATTCCCTCACAGATGGTGTTATGAGGGCCTGATGTGTGTAGTAGTTCCTCACAGATGGTGTTATGAGGGGCCTGATGTGGTGTAGTAATTCCTCACAGATGGTGTTATGAGAGGCCTGATGTGGTGTAGTAATTCCTCACAGATGGTGTTATGAGGGGCCTGATGTGTGTAGTAGTTCCCCACAGATGGTGTTATGAGAGGCCTGATGGTGTACTAATTCCTCACAGGTGGTGTTATGAGGGGCCTGATGTGGTGTAGTAATTCCTTCACAGATGGTGTATGAGGGGCCTGATGTGGTGGTGGCCCTCACAGATGGTGTTATGAGGGACCTGATGTGGTGTAGTAATTCCTCACAGATGGTGTTATGAGGGGCCTGATGTGGTGTAGTAATTCCTCACAGATGGTGTTATGAGGGGCCTGATCTGGTGTAGTAATTCCCTCACAGATGGTGTTATGAGGGGCCTGATGGTGTAGTAGTTCCTCACAGAGTGGTGTTATGAGGGCCTGATGTGGTGTAGTAATTCCTTCACAGATGGTGTATGAGGGGCCTGATGTGGTGTAGTAATTCCTCACAGATGGTGTTATGAGGGACCTGATGTGGTGTAGTAATTCCTCACACAGATGGTGTATGAGGGGCCTGATGTGGGTAGTAATTCCCACAGATGGTGTATGAGGGCCTGATGTGGTGTAGTACCCCTCACAGATGGTGTTATGAGGGGCCTGATGTGGTGTAGTAATTCTCACAGATGGTATGAGGGCCTGATGTGGTGTAGTAATTCCTCACAGATGGTGTTATGAGAGGGCCTGATGGTGTAGTAGTTCCCCACAGATGGTGTTATGAGGGGCCTGATGTGGTGTGTAATTCTCACAGATGGTATGAGGGCCTGATGTGGTGTAGTAATTCCTCACAGATGGTGTATGAGGGGCCTGATGTGGTGTAGTAATTCCTCACAGATGGTGTTATGAGAGGCCTGATGATGTAGTAATTCCTCACAGATGGTGTATGAGGGGCCTGATGTGGTGTAGTAATTCCTTCACAGATGGTGTTATGAGGGGCCTGATGTGGTGTGGTAATTCCCCACAGATGGTGTTATGAGGGCCTGATGTGGTGTAGTAATTCCTCACAGATGGTGTGTGAGGGGCCTGATGTGGTAGTAATTTCACAGATGGTGTATGGAGTCTGATGTGGTAGTAATTCCCTCACAGATGGTGTTATGAGGAATCACATGATGCTGTAGCAACTCTGCCTACTACGTGGTGTCGCATCATGGGACACCACGTGGTCTGTCGTCACTCACTGCGACTCTCAACATGGGTTTACAAAGGAAAATCTTGTC